ATCGTCCAGTACAGAAGAACAGACACCAGCATCGTCCAGTACAGAAGCTATCATGTTACAAATGTAAGTTATAAATTACTGTTCCCATCAAGCACAAAGTATACCCAGCAAATAAGAACCGTATATGTGTCAGTAATATAACATCGATATGTAATGTCAGCTCAACCATATTTACACAGTTACATAACAAACCACATAAATGTGCTGACATTACATATCGTTATTATATTACTAATACATAAATATATATAGTTCTGGTTTGCTGGGTGTAGTTTTAAAAGTAGCACTATATAGTTTTATGCTTTCAGACGTCGTCTAGAAGCCCAGGTAGCCGCACTGAAAAAAGACGATAAAGAACTCATGGAACAAAAAATGACGGAGTTATTGGGAAAAATGTTTAGTCCAGGACAAATACGGATGATATTGAATCCTTCATTGCGGAAAATAAAGTGGTCTTCTGAAGATATCGCAAATCACAGGCAAAAAAGAAGAAAGATGTCAAAATTTACTAATAAAAAACCTGTATATTAAATATTTGCATTTATTGTTATTTGATCTTTTATCTGCATCTTTCCTCTGCATATATAGTTCTTTATGTCGTACGCCACAATATATTTTTGTTTTGCGTCTCAGCTGACAATTCTTTTCCAATCGTTTTCCGACCAGTTTTGATTAAAACTAATAATTCGCAGAATTTTAATAATAAATGACTGGAAATTAAAATCTCGTTTTATGTGAAATTTTTCCGTACGTCGCAATGATTTTTATTCAATGCACACAATTCTTTTTTTCTTAATAATAATAATATTTTCTGTAATATCATATATTTAGACAAATCCACATAAAATAATTATAAAATTCGTCAAATAACAATAACGTTTCTAACATCTACAACGAGAGACAAATTCGGGAAACGATGAGCGTTTATCCGTATGTCACGTGCGTTTTTTATATTTATATATTTTTGTTCATATATATTTATTTATTTATAAAACAGAATTTTCTCTCACATAAATGATCAACATTATTTTGTATTCACATATTGTCCGCTCAAAATGCTTTTATAAATGACTATTATAGATTCGCTGCTTAAATGTGCCGCTCAGTGTGACGTAAGCTTGACCAAGTCGCTGATTGGCTGGGTTCGGAAATATGCGCAAGAGCATACCCTTGTATTTCTACCATGGTCGTGGCATCAGCTGGCATTGGCGACCATCGGTCGATCGGTCAAGCATGGCGTACGTAATTACCGAGGTAGCCAGCGGAGTGAAAATATTGTTGTCTTCTACCGGCCTAGTTTAAACCGATCTCTTGATACGCGTATCAAATAGTATATTTGAATTGATCAGCCAATAATCAGACTTATTTACTAGTTATTTACTATTTAATACGCGTATCAAGTGATTGGTGTAAACTAAGCCACCGTTACATCATCTCGCACCAATCGTATTCGATCGCATTTCCGTTGAGCTGAACTTCTTGTATGTAAGCGGGTAATTTTTTCCCTTTTTCTCTACAACGTGAAAAAAAGGGGAAAATAAACCGTGCAAAAGTTCAGCTAAAAAAATATATATTTTGTCTAAATTTTTCTGAAAAACGTTTTTCGTATAAAAGAATCTGAAAAATTCTGAGCATTCTGAGAAAATCTGAAAATTTTTATAAAAATTCTGATTAATAATAAAATATAAAAAATTCTGATATATTTTTCCACCAGGGTTCATGCACATATTTATTTGTTAAAACTCGTTTATTTCATGCGACAAAAATAGACTTTCATGTATTTAACAAAAAAAATGTAGTACAAATGTATGATATATCGTATATGTATAATGTATATTGTATATGTATAATACATCTATGAAGAACTTGATATATGCTCAAAAAATTTAGCTTCAGTTATTAAATCGGTAAATTAATTTGTAAATATTATTGTAAAAAAAGATATGTTCAATTGTGAGATAAGAATGAAAAGAAATAGATATTATAAAAAAAAAAAACAATTTCTTATATTTTATATTTACAATAAGTTCACAGATCTATTACAAATTGTACTTATTACTTATCACAAAATAAACTTCGCTTTTATATCGTCGACATAAGTAAAAAAAAAAAAAACAAAAAAAATATCACAATCAAATTTTTACTTATAAAAAATACTGTAAGAAAAAGCAATTATTGCTCCTTGATATATTTACTATATTTACAACGAGCTTTTAGATATAAAACAAATAACATTGTACTTACATCACAAAATAAACTTAGCTTTGGTACTGTTCACATAAGTAAAAATATACGATATCGCAATCAAAAAATTGTTCACATAAAAACTAAAGTCACAAAATAAAAAAAAATAATTAAATGCAAATTTTTGACTTATTCATTATATTATAGCCTGAGTGTTTCCATAAGTTTATGCAGATTCTCTCCAAATTCAGCAGTCGTATCTATCATTCGTTGTTTCGCTGTATGTTGTTCCGAGCACAAATGTGCACGAAGATTGATGATACCATTTACCTCCGTTAGACACAGTTTGCAGTAAACAGGTGCAATGGTCGCCTCACGCGGGTCTCTGCGCGCAGAGAATATAAAATATTAATATCATATTTATATCAATATAAAGAACAATATTTTGTTTATATATTTGGAATGATCCGAATTCAATGGAATATATTAAAATTGATTATTAAATGTTTTGAAGTTTGTGCGAAAGAATTTTTGAATGCATTGTTAGTAACGAGACATTGTATTTGATTCTAAGGCTGCATTCCGATATTCACTGCAAGTACTGAAAATCTATAGTTTACGTTACGTACACTATAGATTTTCAGTACTGGCAGTGAATATCGGAACAGCCTAAAGTGTTTTCTAATAAGTACATAACATAAGAAAAACGTTTTATTTTTAAAAATATGATTTTATAATTTTGCTAATTTGCTAGATGATTAAAGTAAAGACGTAATAATGTACTTACTGATGAGCTAAAGCCTCTAATTCCAACAAATGCTTGATTATTTCTTCGAGTCTATCGTTCTTCTCATTCAATTCCAACGCTTTGTGTAAACCGTATACGTTACTTTTCCTCGACGTTTCCCGAGCAGGCACGAGAAATAGAGTCTCGTCGTATCGGTTCCACTTGTTAAAATTACTGACTGGAACTGGTTCTATCTTCTTACGAGTCTTGTATATCACATCTTTAAACGCATTTTTAATTTGATTCTGACAATTTATAGTCATATCATGATGAGCCTCGTCGTCTACAATTTCAGATCTATTATTGAAGTGCATCGCAACATTCATCCAATGGCGAAGCTTGTTAATCTGCCAACAGAAGGTTTACAATTCATGTATATTGCAAACAAAAGAAAATTCCAAATTGAATATATCTGAGTGTATCATAAATGTAAAAATTTTGAATATTAGACGTACCATTCGCAAATCGTTCATCGTGATCTCGACGTCAAATATAATTTCCAGATCGTGGTCCGGAAACAAGCTCTGTTCCGTAATGCGATTGTATCCCAATCCACACAGAGCGCCTGTGTAATAAGTGCCCATCGGACTACGTCGCAGTTCCATGTACGGTGTAAAAATTAAAGTAACGAGCGACGCGAGACCAGGCGTAGTGGGCAAGAGGGTTGTGTTTCGTAGAATCAGGTGCGACATGTTCTTGGAGTCTCGTGAGATATTTTGCGCCACCAGGAAAAGTCCTTTCGGACTATCCGGGCAAGTGTCGAGTAAAACGGAGTTTACCGATGTGGATTCCAGAGATATCACTTTTGCCATTCCTTTTGTCACCATATGGGTCATGCGAACTTCTACCGGCGAGAAGGGACCTTGCAATTTTACCTTAGATCGATATTCGGAATCTTCCGGTAAATCTGGATATGGCTTTTTGTCGTACATGTACCGTCTGCACGGCGGTTCCTCCGGATTGGAAGGTTGAGACAGAAATGTTCCGTATTCCTTCGTGAGCCCAAGTTCCTCGGCTCGGTGACGAGCATCCGTCTCGCTTAATAACTTTACTTCGATCTGGTTCCGACAATGCCTCATCTTGACACAATCTCGAACGAAAGTGTAATCGTCCGGTGCGCGATTCTTCGGCTCATGTTCGATATAAACGCGGTTCGACCCGTCAAAGGACACAGTTATGTTCTCCTGATTTTTGAGCCTCATATGCTGTCCAAAGATCTCCTGAAATCTCTTAGAGTAGAGTGATCCGGGGTGTTTCAACGGCCAGCCGTGTAAGACAACCGTATTCGTCGGATCGCGGTAACCTAATGTCCTCTCTATATCCCGCTTGCGATCATTTATGTTATGTGGGAATTTGATAAAATAATTAGGATAAAATGCACCGGCGATTATAAATTTAAGTACAAAAGTACGATCGATACAGAGGCTCTCCCAAGTATTTTTCTCGGAACCCATCGTTTCTGTTATGCCGAAATTGCGCAGCTTTTGTGTTATTTCGTATATAAAGGCGTCGATCTCGCGTAGCGATCTCACGCGAAGGCTCTTCCGTCGCGCCCATTCTCTTTCCTCGTTAGGACTGTTTATACGGCGATTTGCCTTATCGTTTCGCCACACTTTAAAGGCGTTCAAGTATGCTATGCTATCGCTTTCGGAATTAGCGGCCCAATGCAGTTTCTCGTGATAGGTCGACTCCAATTCGAAAAATCCGATATTGAACATATCCTTAACAGCCATGCTAGCCGCGAGAATGATCGTGTCTGACAGAACACCGAAAAGATGGCCCAGGACAATCAACTTCGTCACGCGTACGTCTAACGGGAGACTGGCCATTACACGACCCAAGGGCGTCAAGTCCCCATCAAATTCTTGCGTGCCCTTATTAAGTAATGCGCCAACTTCCTTCAATAGTAATATAGTCTCCTGTATATTGCTGAGATTAGGTGGATCCAGAGAAAGAGCAAGGAGAGCTTTCGGCTCGCCCATTTCCAGCACTTTCGTCTTAAGAATTACATTTGCGAGCGGAGCCCTGAGCATCTCCGGAAGAGATTCTTCCTGTAGGACATTCTGCAATTTTCAAGATAATGTGATTTACAGGTTCTGCGAAAGATCAAGGTCAATTGATTTCGGTGTAAAATCTATATTCACCTCGTAAAATGCTCTTGGCACCATTCTGTATACCCTACCATCCATCACGCGGCCTGTACGACCGGCACGTTGTTGACAATTTGATTTGCTTGCCCAACAAAGTTGCAAGCATTGATAATTAGTTCCAGGCTCAGTGACAAGAAGTTTTGTCAAGCAAAAATCAATCACTAAAAAAAAAGTGAGAATTATATACCTGTAGGTAGTTCAATCAATTCATAGATATAATTAGTCCGACGGACAAATATTATTCAGTCTCAATAGACCTGTCCAACATACCGTATTTAACATTGGGCACAGTAATGCTGCTTTCAGCGATGTTCGTCGATAGTATGATACGTCGGAAATTTTTGGGTGGCTTCTTAAATATATTTTCCTGCTCTTCGGTCGAGATTAACGAATGTAAAATAATTATATCCCAATTTGCATCTTCGTGTTTTGATGACAGAAATGCAGTACGTAACTCTTCAATTTCGCCAAATCCCGGTAAAAACACTAGCACAGTGGCCCTTTCGTATTCATCACTATCATTCTTTTTGTCAATACTATCGAAAACACGTATAATACGTGCGGCAAACTCCGCCATCCCAGTCGTGAATTTTGGTTCCTCGTCTACTTGAGGGATCTGTTGGAAAACACAATATACTTTCCATGATTGCTTCTCTATTAATCGCAGAAATGGAAAAAAAAAGAAAAAGAAATTATTTATTATCCATATTCTTATTGCGTGTTATGTAGAAGACATTTTTGATCCATTTTTAAAATATTAGTAAAAATTTATTTTTACGTTGATGTGTTAACGTTTCGAAATGTTTGCAATGACAACCTCTAACTTAAGAATAAAGAATCCTGTTGACATCTGTTCTACCAACACTAGAAAATTTGCTAATTTTCTTTTTCCTCCATCTCTGAAGCAGATAACGATCGTATCTGGTTTTTAGAAACAATCTCTCTTCAATTGTGTTTTATGGTGCGTCTCCACCTGCGAGTAAGAACTCTCGAGAGCAAAAAGAAGGGGAGAGAGAGAGAGAGAGAGAGAGAGAGAGAGAGATACTCTCGAGAGTCTCTCTTTCTCTCTTTTTGCTCTCGAGAGTTCTTACTCGCAAGTGGACACGCACCATTAGTCGTGTAAAAAAAATGTATACTCACGTTACCCAAATTCTCCATCTCGTCTATGTAATATATAGAAATATCGTAAGGGCTGCCCTTGGGTATATCGATGATCGGCGCGGATGCAAGTCGATTTCCTACAGGCGTTGAGAAATACGCAGAAAATTTGTCCACGTCGATTGTCGCGGACATCAGTATAACTTTGACCGACGTAGAATTTGTACGTAATAACTTTCTCACTACGAGCAAAAGAAAATCCATGTCTTCGTCGCGTTCGTGCACTTCGTCCAATATGACATGAGTGTAGTCCATCATGTGCTTCTTATTCGCGAGCCTGTTTAAGAGCACGCCAGTCGTGCAATACGTTATGCGAGTGTCGCGGCTTACATTCTTGATCAAGCCCATTTCATATCCCACAAGTGTACCAACGGGCCATTCTCTTTCCGCGCTGACTCGTTTCGCGATGCTCAGAGCGGCAATGCGTCTCGGCTGCGTTACTGCAAGATACAAACATTCTTGTATCACATCACATAAAATGCCGATAAAATTAAAGTAATATTTTGCTGGATGCTTCGGAGAATGCACTCTAAATCCGATGAGATACCTATGATGTTACAGTGTTGCTTCTTTTCAAACTCAGCGTCAAGAATAAGTTGTGGCACTTGTGTTGTTTTCCCACAGCCTGTAGAACCGCGAATGATAACAACAGAATTGCTGGCGATCATGGATACAACCTTGTGTCTCACAGAGAAAATAGGTAAATTAGTGTTGGGCCGATAGGCAAAGTTGTACGATCGATAAAGCTGAACAGTATTTTGCTTGAGAATTGCCGTGTCTCCAGACACCTCCGAAACATTGTCCATATGATCATTATTTTTAAGAAGCATACTACTTTTCAACTGCAAGGAACGGCAGGAAAGATATAAATAAGACGAACAAAATACAGACTGCAATATCATATCACATATCTTAATGCTAATCACCTTAATGTACTCTTCCTCATCTTTTTGTACATATTCCTTTACGTAGTTCGTTTCTGATTCCCTGGTTTTTTTGCCAGCATGACCTAATTCTTCATCAAACATAAATCTGTTTTTTTTCACCTTCCGAATAGTAGGAGCTGGCATATCTATGCTGAAGGACTCAGGTGATTTGTACATGTTCAGAATACGGTTCACCAAACTGTCATCCATTGTTGCAATCTATCGGACCTGTTTAATATTGTATACCATTGAAAACTCATAAAGCATTTATACAAGCTTATAAATTCTTATCAATTATGTTGTACACTTTTAAAAACTTTTGTAAAGTCTATGATATATATATACATATAATTGTTAATACTCAAACAAAATTTATTACAAAGTGCCAATTTTATCAGTTTTAATTAATTTTATTTTTCATGGTGGTAAGACCAGAATATTTTTTGTTGTGTTTACAACTCTAAGGAATTATGTGGCGTATTCACATCTTGACTCGAACTCAAATTTGCTTCTTTAATCATTATATTATGCAGAATAATTTTTGAAACAAATTTAGGTTAACACTATTTTTCTTAAATAAGGAAAGACAAGTTCTGCATCTGTTGAGATCTTAATATTATCTTTTATACGTTAATAAGATTACAGTAATACGATACACGTGAACAGTAATAGATAATTTTTTTTGCAGAGCTTAATCCCGTCAACCAAGTTTTTTATGGTTATTTTGGCACATATTTTGGCACTCTTTGTTCTTTACAGTATTTAGATGAGAATAGATGAGAAGTTAGAAACCTCGAAATTAACACAGAATATGGATCACAGACAAATCACAATATAAATTACAATTGTAAAGGACAAATGGTAGTGCATTTGTTTTCTCCTCGTTCTTGTTCTCTTCAATGCTCTCGTCTTTCTCTCGGTCTTCGATTGGAAATTGGAATCTGATAAAAATGTGTGAATATGTATGCACACATAAATACCAGAGAATTCAACTAAACTCAGCACGCAGTAGCGGTCAGCAGATACCAGATACCAGCAGATCACAGCTTCACAGCAGACACGTGCGCCCGTGCGGAATATGAGGTATGTATGTATGTATATGTCCGGTGTCCGGTTGCCCGCGTTTTAAATTTCATTCAAGTGAAATCTGAAGTCACTAGATATCTATCTAGTGACTTTAGTCAAACTCGTCCATTTGCGCACGTTCGTATATTTCGTATATTTAGCAGACACGCAAATTAAGGTGAAATTTCATGGGCAGTGAAAAGCAGCAGCAGATCGTACTGATTGGCTGCAAAATAGAGAAGTTCTCGAGTTCCTAGAACTTCTCTATTTTGTAGCCAATCAGTACGATCTGCTGCTACTTTTCACTGCCCATGAAATTTCACCTTTAGATATTTTATATTTTTTTTTGGTTTGGGAATTGTTTAGGAAAATTTAGAGCCAAAGCACATATCATGGCGTAGCGATATACGACAGTCATAGTCCTTGACCTGACAAATCAGGGTACGCCAAAGCTTGTGCGTTATGCCTTGTGTACACGATGCTAGAAATCGGTCCGAGTTTTGGTTTAAGCCAATCAACTTGCAGCTCTTACAGAAAAGTAGTAGTTTCATTGGCTTAAACCGAAACTTGGACATCGGTCGGAGTTTGGTCGTATTCCGTATTCCGCCGTCCGCGCTCGAGCGCCTGTAATAGTATATTCTGTAGCGCCTGTTCGCGCTCGAGAGCGTCTGGTGCGACCACGTCCGATCACTTTGATCGCGCTCCATTCCCTTGTCGTTCTGAGGGGGGGTCATTGTCGTGCATCGCCTCGCGGTCAGCAGTCCGCGTTTAAGTCGCATACGTCACAACTATCGGGAACCGGAGACGGCAGAGACCGGAGTCAGGGTGGCAGCAGGAGCCGCTGGTTAGGAGTGGAGTAATCGCGAACCCCCGAGTGGTCGCGAGGAGGTGGTGCGTGGCGTGACGACAGCGGTTTTTCGACACTTGATCGCGCGCGGCGCGGCGCGACGGAGGAGAATCGACGAGGAAACGACACCACGCGTGTGCATGCGATGTTAGCCGCTCGTCGGCCGAACGAATTCGCGCGACGTGTTGCACAGTGTTCCTTGACCCGCGCGTGCGTCCCCACGCCACGCCGATGTGAGTCGGACGATCGTCCCGGGCTACGGTAAATCGCTACGCGACATTTAGGTATTTAAGCACGCACGCACATACGCACCCCCACATACGGGCCGCATCATGTTCTGGACGAATAATTACGTGTCATCGCCGCATATCGAGGCATTGCTCAACAAGGAGGTAAGTGCACTCTCCTCGTCGCACACGAGCGTCTTTTCCCCCCACACTCCACAGATGAGAGTTTCCCTTTCCTCACTTCCTCTGGGGGGGGGGGGGGGGTCTCGTTGTTAGACGGTATCTAATCGGTTGCTCCATGCAGGATGTCACGCTGCACGAGTTGATGGATGAGGAGGACATCCTGCAGGAGTGCAAGAGCCAAAACAAAAAGCTGGTTGAATAGTAAGTGGGATTATTGCTGCTTCCTTAAATCTGATTTTGTATTCATTGCATATAGTGTCTTTGTTGCAAAAAATTACTGCAATGCATAATTTATAGTCTTACAAGGCCTGCTGTTATGGAAGAATTAGTTACGTTAACTACTAAAGAACCATCCACGGATATTGAAGAACGTTGGCGCTATAAGTATCCCAATGTTGCGTGCGAGTTGCTCACATGTGATGTGCCTACATTAAATGAGAAACTGGCAGGTACTTGGAGCTTTGTTATGTACTTAATTGGTGAGAGTATCTGTTTGTAAAATTATATGGATTTTGTAAACACATTTCTTGAAACTTTTTTCAGGTGATGAGGCACTTTTGGCCAAATTATATTCTTTCATAGATACAGATCAGCCACTAAATCCACTACTTGCATCATTTTTCAGTAAAACTATCGGAGTGCTAGTCGCTCGTAAAAGTGACCAGGTAATTACATAAATACCTCTAGTTTTTATGTAGAAAATGGTTATATATGAGATACATTTCAGATAAGTCAGTTGCACTTACTTTTGTAATAACTTTACTTTGAGACATTTAATTCTATTGACAAGTTAGACAAGTAATATTAGCTAACTAATAAACTTTTTTTGTCTCCTATATTATCCACATGCCTATCCATCCTATACATTTCCATCCATTCCAGAATTGGTATTCCTATCAGTTCACATGCTTACAGGTTTTAGAATTTCTTAAGAGTCGCCAGAGATGCGTAGATCTATTGTTGCAACATTTAGAGACATCGGCTATCATGGACTTAGTACTCAAACTTGTTACTCAGGTTGAGGGCAGTGATATGCGTCAAAACATATTAAATGTAAGAGGTTTTCCATATTTATTTTTAGTTTTTTTCAATACATATATATGTGTATTTGTGTGTTTTTAATAGTGGCTAGATAGTCAACATTTAGTGCAAAGACTGGTAAAATTGTTAGCACCTACTTCAGAAGTAGCCAAACACGCTAACGCGGCACAATTACTTTGCGACATGGTGATGGTAGCTAGAGAAACTCAACGTACATCCACAGAACGTGCTGATCCAGATCCTATTTTGAATACTTTGGAATCGTGAGTATATTCAAACTTACGATGAGTTATTTGTTTTACACGAATATTCACACGAATAATATAATAAAATTTTGTCACGCAGAGGAGAAACTGTGAGCCTATTGTTAGAAACTATCCTAACAGCAGAAAAAGTAGAAAGTAGTATTGTCGGTGGAATACAAGTGCTTTTGGTACTTTTAGGTCAAAGACCCAGCAAGTATGACGATGAGAATATTTTACACTGTCAAAATTACATTTTATAGATAAAGTACAGTACGTAATAGCTTGAATGCTTTGCAGTTCCTCAAATGAAGGAGATGTGCATGGTAATGGCGAAGACACCACGGATAATGAACAATGTATTAAAATTTCAAACGCTACTTTACCATATTTGGAACATCTTCATAAACTTCTTCTAGATCCACCATATGTAAGAACTGCTTAAAAAAGTTTTCTAAAAATAGAAGTTGTACTTAACGTAATGTTTTCTATTTATACTTTCTGTACTATTTGAAAAAATCACAAAATTTTTTATTGTTTAGAAACCTGCCGTTAAAACAACCGTTGGACTATTAGAATGTCCATTGGGAAACACTCGTTTGCACGTAGCAAAGTTGTTAAGCGCGTTATTGGCGACAGAGAATTTAAAGATCCACGAAAGTTTAGAAAATTTGGGAACATTCCAAACATTATTGGTAAGATCGCATTATATGTGCATGCGTCTTTTGAATATCATTAGTGCTTTCTATTTATTTTGTATCACTTTTATTTACTTATTCTTCGTCTAAATGTGTTACAGGATCTGTTTTTCAAATATACATGGAATAATTTCTTACATACACAAGTACAACAGTGCCTGGCCTTAGCTATTAATTGCGGACAACGGGATAATGATATTATTTATAATAATGTGAGTTATACCTCTTGTAGTGTGGCAATAAACCATAATATAGGAACATTAAATAATTCGAGCGCACATTAATTTCCAGATATTTATCAAGTGCAAATTAATAGAGAGAATCTTAGAAGCATGGGATAAAAACGAGAGTAAACAGTAAGATTGCCGAAAGTATTAAATTTCGCATATGTTTTGCAAGAGAAAATTCAGAACTATAACATCGGGATTTTATTGCAGAAACAAAGAAAATGGTGTTCGCCAAGGCTACATGGGACATTTAATAAATATTGCGAACAATATCGTCACTCAATGTGAAAAAAATAATATACTGGCCAGCTTCTTAAAGAACAATTTATCACCCGAGTGTCTTACTAAATGGGAAAATCTCGTGAGTGTACAGTTGGTGGAGATTAATAAAATTCATCGAACTGTAATGATGGTACGTGGTAATGGTAATATTGCTTACCATTTTTTGTTTTTTTCTTCTTGCAAATGCATCGCGCATGTGGATTTAGTATAACGGGTAATTTTAACGTTCTTTCATGCAACCGTAATAATTTACGATGAAAGACTGTTTCAATTTTTTCTTGCGTTGTGCAATGTTTAATGCAATGTATCTGCAGCGAGAAAGCAGCAATCTTAATTAGAATGGAATTTTTAGGGTGATCAGACTCCAGTGTACCTGATGAGCTCCGAGGAAAATCCAAACGAGTACAACTCTTATTCGCAAGAGACATACATTCAACAGGTTAACAGTTACATTCGTATATTATTGATACATAAATTAAGATTGTCTAGTTCTTTATTTATCGTGCGATATTCTTCGTATTAGATGTACTCCAATTATCAGGGTCAACAAATAACACCTTCGTTCATCGAGAACTTTGGATTTCATGACGATGAGTTTAACGACGGTGATGATGCGCTTCAGTAAGTATACGCGCGAGATTTCATTAGAAAAAATAATAGCACTACTAGGGGCGCAATCGTAGAGTTTACAAAAGCCAAGAAAGCACACGCGTGAAAAGAGGGCGACGTTAATATTGTCAGTCATTTCTCCCCCACTGTTTTAAGAAGTATGATATTATAGTAATCCAGTTGACCAATTAACAACGTTGGCCTTTACTCTCAGTGAAGAAGATCTCGACAAGCGAGAAGATATGTTCAATAAGGTAGATATCTGTTTAGTTGTTATCGAATAACATACGTGTTACATTTGAAACTGAGATTTAAAAAATTGTTTGGTGATGCTATGTTAAAGCTGTGCCAACAAAAACAAAAAGCCGGGCTTGAGGATTGCGGTAGTGGCTTAGAATGGGGAGACGAGGGCGAACTGACGTTCCAGACTGTGGTGGATAAACGGGATTGGCACTCGAAGCAGCAGCATCAGGATTCTAGTTCGTCGGACGAGGATGACGAGGAACCACGTGACATGCATATGGAGGTCGACACGACTGATCGTATGTTCTACCAAGGATTTTTTTATTATCTGATATTCAAAAAAGCTCGAGATTATTTTACCGAAATGAGTTACAAAATTTCAGCTTGGGACACTACCGAACCACTGAACACTGGCACTATACTCCCGCCGGTTAATCCGTGGGATGTAGTGCCGTCAGAGCCAGTAGAATCCACTGGATGGGCCAATTTTGAAAATTTTGAGAATACTTTGAGTATAGAGAACACCGTAAGCGAAGATAAAAAGTCGTGCGATGTGCTTAAAGATAAAACATCAGAAGCAACAGCCGCAAACTTAACGGAAAAGAATATGGCTTCTAGCGAAAATATTGGAGATGGCAACGAAAAGAATAAAGATTATGTAGATAGCCAAGTAGTTGAGACGGAATTACCAGCTGCGGAAACTAATCTCGACGGCAAAAGTGACAGCAAAAATGACGAGCACAAAATGATCTCTACGAATGAGACCGTCAATCCTAGCGAGTTACCGGTTAACAGGTGTTTATATAGCGTTTAGTCTATCGAATTTGGAACATATGACAAATTTATGTAAAATTTGTGTTCTTTCTAGAGATCTTAAGAGCACGGCGGAGAACGAAACCGTAAAGGATGCGAACATGGAGAACGAAAAACCGTTAATTGAACATCAAATCCCAGTCGCTTCGTCGGAAAGTACATCCGCTGGCACTGTTAATGCCCTACCGGTGCCTAAAGATGCTAAATGAAATGAAATTTCCCCTTGCCTACGTTAAATCATCTATGGCAATAGGAAGAGAGAATCATATCAGTATCAAGTCGTACGCGAACGATCGGAAGCATATTGCGCCTTCTCTATTTTTCATTAGACACCACGTTAATTATGCTTTAAGAAAACGTTGACGCTGGACACATTGTGGTCCCGCTGCAGGGTATCTCTTTGAATAAATCCGGAATGCCGAAAAATGATCGACGCTCAACTACACTTAGCGAATAATTTGATGTTCATTACATGTAGGTACATCCCATTCCCTTTCTACCCCTCGCCCCGTCCCTCAAATGGCCAACGTCTATAAGTATCCTTGCAAAAATCAAGTCCTCCCTCTACCCCTATATTTTACGATTATTGTTAAGAGTTTCAACTGACAATGAGTGTACGTTAGTTCGACGAGAGCAGAAAAAAAGAGAGAGAGAGAGAGAGAGAGAGAGAGAATCGAGAGTATTTTTATTACCTTTTGTCATAATAATCAGTCAAAATTCGTACATGATATCGGATTAATCAAGCCCTTGACGAACTTGCGCGCTTATTTGCATTCCAAAATAATAAAAAAAAAGGAAATATTTATACGTACCTTTAAGCGACCGTTGAAGTCTTTCACACACATCAAGATCTTCCAGAAGTAAATAGTTAAATTGCAGAAATCATTGTCAAAGTGTCGCGCATACTTCGATTGAGCTGTCTTACGTATGTACCCATCATTCTTCGAGAGATTATTCTACGGATTACGTTACCTGATTGTTCCGAATTGCGACTTTCTTCTGCCTCGCAGATTTTGCAGCAGCAATGTGTTTATAGCGTTGTACACGAGATATTGTTCATAATTGAATGAAAAAAAAAAAAAAACTAATAAAACATTGTTCTAAATCCTAAAGAAACGCACATGTCACATCATTACAGGTTTAATATTGAAATTTATAAATTGCGTACACCGCTCTATGTGTCGTCTTCACGTTCTATCTTATACGGCGTATAATTAATAATTTACTACACACGTCTATTCTTCGATAACATCGTCGTGTATATGCGCAGTCTTTACATTTCACATTTTTCTTTTCGCCTTCAATCGATAAACTCATTTCGATGCGCGAATCCGCACTCGCTCCGAGATAGAAAAATTCGTTGGGATTAGGAGAATTCGTCGTCCTGAGGTGTATTATACAACGTTATATCGACTCTCTCTTGTCTGCAAAGCACAAAAAAAATGACGTTTTGAAATTATTTGCTTTATTTTATAGAATTATTCGTTCTATTTCATAGAATTATTATAATTTATTTCATAGAATGTATAAATGTTTTCACGTCGCTTTCTCTTTCAACGGGAACATTACACAAAAGTAAAGGATAAATGAAACTTTTTACTTGTTTACCTTTCGGTACTTTCGGCACTCGTTGTATTATCCGTGTCCGTGAGAATCCCAATCTCGTAAACCACAGCCTTTATCACGATTCTGAAGACGGCAAGAGATATTTATATAAGTAGCCAATTATTTTACATATACATTAAAGAATATTTTAAAGAAAATTACACGTCGGTGTTGGATGAGATCTCCGTCGAATTGTCCGTCGAGCTATCCATCGAGCTGTCCATCGAGCTGTTCGCCGAATCGTTCATCGAATTCTCCATCGAATGTTCCGACGAACTCCCCGTCGAACTCTTGGGCGTTGAGTTCTGTGGGAAATCCCATAAAGGACTGGCACCCACTCGTTGCAACGTCGTTGATGTTAATATTAATGTAAATAATAAAAATGCGACGTAGGATGGCCAGAAGGGCCGATGTAAGACGACACGCGACATTTTAAAGCGACAAGACTTGGAACGATCCCGGCTGCGACTTTTATAGCGGCGGACATCTGTCCCTCGTTAACACCATTGTGTCTTATACGTAGATACTTTTGCATTACGTATTCTCGATCAGTTCATAAGTGGTAACGGAAATTTTCCTGGTTGCGCATAGAGGTGCAACCCGCTGTTGAATTTCAACGAGATGAGGTTTTACTTAATCGCGTATAAGAAGACGGCTATCTTTGAATTTCGAAAGTACTAGGAAAGTTTCGAGAAAAATCTGATTCTCTGTAAAAGAAGAAATACTATATAATATAAGTAGCTGACTAATTTCGGTAATTGAAATGAGAAAGGTGCACAACTTGTGCAAATTGAAACAACTTGCGCTCTGCTCGGCCCTGTAATTTCTCGACGTAATTCTGTATATGTAACAAACTTGTTAATGGAAATGCCACACTCTGATAACTCGTTCAAGGTTTCCGAAGACATCTCCAATGTATTCACATATTACCGTGAAACGTATGTTTTTTTTCTACGCGGCAACTTATTACGGTGAGCTAAATTCTTGACGCGCAATAGACATCGATGTAATATATATTCTTCCTCGATCTAATATTGCTCGATGTGAATTTTAATAGATGCATCTTTTTATTTCAGTAATCGAATAAAGCGTGAAAGTAAAATTGTAGAAGTTAAATTTTTCAAAGCGATATCGAGAATATACTCTGCTCATACGATTTTGTCTTTGTATATCGCCTTTGTATATCGTCTTAAACGTGGTAATTCAATTAGCGTGGTTACGCAAACAAATCGCGTCATTTGGATACCGACGCATCATTTAAAATAATATCCGGATAAATACGTGTACGTGTCATGTTCGTTCAGGTTTAAATTAAAAATATTATTAGTTTTGATTATTAATAATATTATTAATTATAATATTAATATATATTCTGAGATCTAGCAGCACCAAGTTTTTTTACATTAATAGGTATCCTTTCTTACTTCAATTAAATATTTTTATTTTATATTGTTATCTATTTCTTTCATTCTTTTCGATTAAGTATTTTTCTTTCATTGAGAGATATACTTCTTATCCATATTGTACATACATATGTATATCATGATTATAATTGTGTTTAACTGTTGAAATGTTATAAAATAAGAAAATTATAGAATTTAAAAATTTAAGTAGTTTATTTTTACAAGCATGTTCTATATCTTCATGTTAAGTTTTTAACTGCATTTGAATATCTTCTATTATTTTTTAATGAGTTTGAAAATGTTTAATTTTTAAAAACTATCATATTTATTTTTATTTTGCGTAATTTATGCAATACAATTATTTTATATTTTTAATTGGATATATTAAAACAATTTATTAAAAAAATATTTGGCAGGCTATGTTAACAAACGAAGAATAAATAAGCGTCAAATAAAATATAACACAATTATATGTGTCATATTATGTAATACAATAATAACAATGATGTGTAATATTAATAACCAATTAAGAAAAGAGATTATAAAGAAAAAAGAGAAAGAAAGGAAGACAGAGAGAAAATTTTATAAGGATATTTTTATGTCTCGTGGAAATTAAAATTATATGTATATCATACGAGAAGAGAATACTGTCACAATTCAAAAAATTTCGATAATGAGTTAATTAAGCCCATAAAAGGGCGAAACTTCCGAAAACGTCCGTGCTCCAATTTAGATGAAACTTTATGAATGGAAAATGTATATGCGAAGGCAACAAGTTAAAAATGTTAAAAAAGTTGTTAAACTTTGGAGTCGCAAAAAATCCTTTTGGTATATGTCTTTTTTATCTAAAAGGAACTTATTTACAAAGTTTCACCTAAATCGGAGCACGGACGTTTTCGGAAGAACAGCCGTTAGTTATCTCATTGTATAAAGAAGGCGACAAAGATTCAAATATAAAAATTTTATTATTATTGTGGTAGTATTTACTATTTCGCATATCTATCATTTATATGTTATTATAGTGTATATAGTGTATAAACGAATAATACCCAGGTAGCAAACACAAGTCATTTTGACGTCAAATTTTGGTCCTTTAATTCCTGACGTCACTAACTGGCGGCATAATGACGTTAAAATGACGGTCTAATGTCACAGACAATTGACGTCATCGCGGATACGTTATTTTGACGTCATTTTCTGACATCTTATTGACGGCAAAAATAGGTCCATTGTACAACATACCGGTTTCTAGAAATGTTTTTTATGAAATTAAAATTTTAAAATGTCTACTTGATAAACGTTTATAAAAAAATGTTCTTTTTCTTTATCTAAGATAAAAAAAAGCTTTTTTAACTGTTTCGTTACATGCCAATGTGCGTATAGCCGCTCTCAAGGCGGTCACCTATCCTAGTACAGTACCGCGCCCGAGTCGCTTGACTTCGATGATCCAGTGGACAGTGACGATCTTCTCACCCT